TATCTGTTGCTTAGAAGGGTGATTTACAACATTTTTACGACTGCTCCATCTCTACTGCTACTGTACCTGTGAAGAACAGCCAACAGAACCAACAAAGGATTATTAATTAAAATTAATTTAATTTAATAATAAATAAATAAATTTTCCTGCAAATTTGTGTGAAATATGTTGTAATAGGTTGGATTTTAGATTATGTTTATTGAATAGTTAAATTATTTATTAATTTAATTAATATTTTTTTTTAATAATTTAATTAATTGAACAACATTCTAATCTAAGTAATGTATAATTAATTTTTTTAATTATAATATATATGATAAATTTTATATTTATATTATAAATATATATAAATTTATGAATTATTAATTTAGAGTTAATTGTTAATAATATACCAATTAAATGTTACTGTTATTTATTAATCATCATGTGCATGCATGGCATATTTTTAGAAATGTAATTATATTTTTCTTTGCAATAATCTGTTATTTAGTAATTTGATGGTAATATAATTTATAACACACACACACACAAGGTAATCTGGCTTAATTTACAATTACATAAGAAGGTTATTTTGATGTATAAGCTACAACCAAACATAATTACTATAGCATCAGCATTTCATAAGAAGTGAGAATGAAAATGCCATCATCATGTGCCTGACATGGTTTGATTTACAGAACGAAAATAAAAAGTTAAGGCGTTAATGTACAGACACACACATATTTAATGTTATTAGTGTTTTGATTGATTAAGTAAGATTAAAGGTTAAAAACATGATTAATGATATGCATTCAAACCTACTTTGTTGATTGACACATTTGTTACATCATCATCATCATCATCATACTCATCACACTCATTGCCATCTTCACCATTATCATAATCATTACCATCATCATCGTCGTCATCATGATTTTCTGTCAGTTAGGACTGACACTACACCACAAATATGTAATCTATTTGCAGGCTGGGGAAATGCAAATTAATTAATTATGTCATTTTTATTCTCATTGTATTTTTTATTTCTCATGCTATCAAGATATACAGTAAGATAATGAGATAGTGAGAAGAGAGTAGGATAATGAGAAAAAGATAGGCGATAGAGAGAGAGAGAGAGAGAGAGAGAGAGAGAGAGAGAGAGAGAGAGAGAGAGAGAGAGAGAGAGAGAGAGAGAGAGAGTATACACATAATGCATATTCAGATAAATATTTTTAATTAGAGCACAATCAATATGCCTTTTGGTTAAACTAATTAAACAAGAATACATCAATGTTTGAACAATTCTTTCCCAGTGTGTGTGTGTGTGTGTGTGTGTGTGTGTGTGTGTGTGTGTGGCTGTGTGTGTGTGTGTGTTTGTGTGCGCCAAATATTATTCACTACTAACTGATGCATATAAAGTGAGTTTAAATAGTCATGTATGTATTTGTGTGTGTGTGTGTGTGCGTGCGTCTGTATACTTTAACTTTTAATTTAATCTGCTATATTTACAACATCACAAACAACTCAAGCAAGCTGTTGCACACACACACACATACACGCACGCACGCACACATTCTAACAAGGAATGCAGTATCAGCAGCAGCACACTGGCGCGCACGTACGCACGCACACACGCACAGGTTCTCATTACACAGAGGGTAATCTTGAACTTGTATTGTCATTGTGATTGGACTGCAGTATTTACAACTCCTATATAAACTGCTCCTGCGTCTATAATAACAAAACATGCACTTTTTATTCCCAATAACACATCATAAGTAACATTGCCTCTACATCTGTTATTACATTTATTAGTTGTACTGCTACTGGACTTTAACGATTTTAGTTACTTTAATATTGATTGAATATAAAAATAATATTAAATTATAAAAATTATATTATTATTGTTATTACTATTATTGATATTATTGTTTTTCTTATTGGACAACTCAAAGGATACACGAATGAAAGTACACAAGTCCAACTCATCTGCCAGGATGAAGAGGAGGATGAACAACAACGTGAGTTGATTTTTATTCGTTGGTTGATTGATTTGTTGATTGATTGATTGATGGACGATGGATGGATGGATGGTTGGAAGCATGCGTAAATGAATGGATGATTGCATGAATAATCTGATTGGATTGAATGGAGAAATGAATAGATAGAAGAATGACGGAGGAATGCATTTATTTATTGATTGATCTATTGATTAATTTGTGGATTAGTGGGCAGTAAGATGGATGGTTGATAAAGTGCTGAAAAGATGATAGATCTTCTACCTATATGCATTTATTTTCCATGTTTTTTTTAAATTTGTTAGTATATATATATATATATAATTGCATGTGTGTTTGATTGATGTGTGTATGTATGTATACACATACACACGTATATACATATGTTAGTTTTGAATCATTCAAATTCGTTTTTGAACTCTTTATTGTGCCAGCTAAGTCTTAGAAGCGCCTTTCATAGTTTTATTTTAATTTAATACTTTTTCTTTGTCTTTCTATCTCAGACTATCTTAATTGAAACATAAATCTTAATAATAACAATAATAATAATAATGATGATGATGATGATAATGATGATGATGGTGACGATATAATTATGGATATTCCAGACAATAGAATATATGTGTAATCTTGATTTTAAATTCTGCTAAGTATTTTGTATGTTAATTATTTCATTTCGTAATTATTATTATTATTGTTATTATTATTTTGTAACAGTTGTTGTTGTTATTGTTGCGGTGTGTAATTAGCTAGAGTGTCTTTTTCTCAATTTTTTCATTGCAAATACTTTTATGGTGTGCTAAATAATGATGTTGGGTAGTTGTAGTGTTGTTGTCATTATGTTTATTGTTGTTGTTTGTTGTTGTTGTTGTTCGGTGCTACCTGCCTGAATTAAATTTTCAGTTTCGTTCATGTATAATAATTTTTTTTTCGTAAATTTAAATTTAAAAATAATAATTTTTTTTTGGAAAAGTTAACCAAACATGCCTTTGCTTATCTTAACACTGAAACAAATGTGCACCCACACATACATACACACACATGCACGCACACACACACATAACCATTCATAAACAGATACACACACATATGTTTACATAACACAACAACATTCTGGCATTATAACAAGCTTATAAAGAAACATCATTCATTCATCCATCCATTCATTCATTCATAAAAACATACATACATACATACATTTTTTTATTTATTGTTCATTTATTCATTCACTAATTCATTAATCTTTTTTCTTCTTCGATTTATTTTCTCCAAATTTGGAACTAAAAATTTTCTGATGATGATTTTTATTGAAATATTGCAATTTTACATAATTTTTTTTATAAGGATTCAATTTTTACTCCTTATAAATGACTGTTTATTAATGATTATCTCTTACCACATGCCTATGCACACTGTGGTACTTTTTAAATATCAACGCTAATGTTATATCTAAAGTTATTATTATTGGTTGTACGACTATCTAGAGGTCGTCATCATCATAGTCAGTCATCATTTTCGTGGTCATTCATGGTCTTCATCATCATATTCTTCACCGAAAAAAGTTTTTCATCACTACTGTCATCATCAATTTATTGTCATCACCACATCTTCATTATCGTCACCGCCATCATCCGTATTTGTTACTCTACGTGTTTTAAGTGAAAACTTAAGTTTATTTTTATTTCCATTTAATCCACACACAAACACACACGATCCACACACAAACACACACACGCACACAGGTGGACACATACTGTGCACTTAACTCAACACATCTTAGCTCCATGTAACACAAAGCCCTCTGACCCTTCAAGACAAATAACAAACAAACATGAAATAAATAAATAAATTAAACATTAAAAAATTTCCTGCATTCTTTCTCTTTCTCTCTCTTACTTTTCACTTTTTCTCTCCTTCCCGATTGGTTTCTAATTCTCTCTCTCTCTCTCTCTCTCTTTCTCTCTATTTTATCTTTTTACTTTAGCGTTATCTTGGTCAGTTACAAGATTTTCAACGTAATTAGTTAGGCCTTACACAAGATATTTATTACTTCATAATGTTAGCTAGTTAGATGTTATGATGGTATCATATGTCAGTGAATGATCTAGTAGTGTCAAATGCTTTATACATATTAACATTTTATTTACTAGTGTTGCATATATGGTTACGTAACACTCACACACACACACACACACATATATATATATATATATATATATATATATATATATATATATGTGTGTGTGTGTGTGTGTGTGTTATATATATATATAACACTCATATATATATATATATATATATATATATAACACACATACACACACACACACATATATATATATATATGTGTGTGTGTGTGTGTGTGTGTGTTTTACATTTGCGTACATGCTTTCATCATAAAACAATATCTACTTTTTAAACATGACTTAACTCAGTCGACACTCAATGTAAATGATTGATGGTGACAAAGATAATAAGGATGGTTATGGTAATGATAATTAGAGTTATGGTGGTGATGATGATGATGATGAGAATTACGCTGATGAGTGTACAGTAATATTGAGGCTGCTAATAGTTATCATGATATGACTGGGAATATGATGATGATGAATTTATTTATCTATTATGATAGTGATGATCACATTAATGGTGGTGATGGTGACGATGAAATGATTACAGATGTTTAAGTTGATAATGAAGAGGGTGATGATGATGATAATGAAGAGGGTGATTATGATGATAATGAAGAGGGTGATGATGATGATAATAATGGTGATGATGATGATGATGGTGGTGGTGGTGATGATGATGATGAGCCACGAAGAAAAAGTTTTTCTGTAGATTTTACTTTCTGCATGCATATAGACTTATATGCAATCTCCACTCTTACAAGTGATTAAAATTATGTTTTTACTGCAGGCTGATTTGTCAGTTGTTGAACAAACTTCATCATCATCTTCCTCCTCGTCCTCTTCATCGTCGTCGTCCTCTTCACCGAAACCGATGACGGTGAGTGATAAGAAAACTTCTTACAGCAATGCGACGTCATCAGCTGCAGTGGCGACCGTAACCACAGCATCTGCCGATTCGGTTGCTAATGACACTAATACGACATCAACAATGATGATAACGTCCAGTGCCAACTCTACATCATCCCTCATGTCGTCATCCTCTTTTTCACAAATGACTACTGCACCCTTTTCCACTACGACGACAACCACATCCACCACCACCACAACGACTACTACTTTCTCAATTGCCAACACACCTATTCCGAGTGTGAAAATTAAGAATGTGAGCAGTCAGAGGAGTAGGATAGAATACAGCAGCAGCAGCAGCAGTAGTAACAGTGCACAGAACAACACCGCATCATCATCTACTACATCCAACAATGCTTCCAACGATAGCTTAAAATCAAAATATTCACACAACAATGACGCTAACAACAACACTAACAACAACGGTAAAACATCAAATAAGTGGAAAACTTCTTCAGATGGAAACAGACATAATTCTACCAGCAACAGCAACAACAATAAAAACAACAACATTGACAATAACATGGATTCGTCATCATCGGCAACTTCATTGTCGTCATCGTCTCAGCAACACATCTCAACATCCACGTCATCATCATTATACGCGTCGTCGTCAACGTCATTGTCAGCTGGTTGTAGCAGCAGCCACAGCAGCAACGGCAGTAGCAGCAACAACTTGAACGATGTAGCCACAGAAACTAGTGACATCTCTGTAATGACAGACTCAGATCATCTGGGTCCATGCGAGCCTGGCACTTCTGTCGTCTTGGAGGGCATTGTCTGGAGTGAATCAAATAGTGGTTAGTCTCATTTTTACGACCGATTGCTTCAGTTTGATGATTGATGTTTCAATTCGGATTTGTTGAGTGACTGACTAAGTTTAATGATTGATTTGTTGATGTTTCCATTGGCTTCTTTGATTGATTTGATGGCTAGTTGCTTCTTCGGTGGATCTATTGATTGACTGATTGGTTGATTGGTTGATTGAGGATGGGTTAGTTCTTTTACACTGGATAGATATGCTGTTTATGACTAACATATAAAAGATGTGGTTAAGTGTTTGTTTGTCGTGTTCACCGTTCACCAGTTTTCACCGTTCACCAGTTTTCACCGTTCACCAGTCCTATACATAATTGTTTTGTCATTGTTGCTTTGTTGCTACTAAAATTGTACACAACTTTAATTGCTTACTCAATTTCAATAAACGAATTTGTGAGTAATTTTACAATCGTTTAACAACTTTCCCATGCAACCAACACTCATTGAGTGATTCAACGAGTGTTTTAATTATTTATCTGCTATTATTATTTAACTAGTATTGTATAATATTGTTATGTACTGCTGGCTACTGCTAGCTATTTAATGATCAGATTATTCAGTCATTGTTATGTAGGCAGTTGCACTGGTACCCATCATACAGCTTGCATTTCTGTGTTATATTACATGGCTATTATGCGTGTGATGGATGGGCTATACACACATACATACACACACATACATCTCTTAATATTTATAGTTAAATCATCCTATGTTATATGTGTTATGTTAAACATTCATCATGTTATATATATATATGTATATACATATATACACATATATATATATATAATATGTGTGTGTAACATATATTTACATGTTATGCCATACATGCATCATGTTATATATCATGTTATGTGTTATTAAGATCTGTTGGAGTTGAAACACTTTAGGGGAAAGATTAGGGTCAAAGTTCAGGAGCATGTCTTGAATTTTTATATTTATGGTCCTTCATCTTTCATGTGCTCTTTATTATTTCTCATTCATTATTATTTTTGTTATTTTCAGCTATTTTTTTGTGTTATTCTTTGTGTTACTCTATTGTCATCATTATTTAATAATTTTTAACTTTTTCCATGCTTTTCGATGTTTTTCTTTCTGACTAATCTTGTTTATTTGCAGTTTTTCTATTTGCCTTTTTAAATTTTTTCAACGACGGAGTGGTTTATGATTTTGTATCTAGGAGAATTGTGTTTTTAAGGTTTTTATTCCTTACTAGTTTTTACCTTTGGCGCTTAAGTAATTTTTTTCACTTACTGGTTTTGTTTTCATTTCTTTCTGTTCATCGTTTTTTTGTGTTCTTGTTTATGAAATGTGTTAACATGTTTATTGATAATTTTTGAATTGTATTGCGTTTGGGACTTGTGTGCGTGCGTGCGTGTTCTTGTGTTTGTGTGTGTGTTTGTTTGTGTGTGTGTTCATATATTTATGTGTTGATCATAATCATGGTTGTAATAAAAATATAGTGACATTAATGTTGACAATAGACAGTCCTAATCAGTGATCACATTAGAAAATAATAAAACGATTAATGAGAGGAGACTTTCACAAAAGCTTTGTGTGTGTGTATGTGTGTGTGTGAGAGAGAGAGAGAGAGGGAGAGAGAGAGAAAGAGAGAATGAATGTGCGTGTAAGGGAATGTGTTTTATGTGGTGTAACAATAAATTCCTTGTGTTTGATTGTGAGATGGATGTTAGATTGTTTATTTGGCGTAGTTGTGTGTCATTCAGAACCATATAATGTTTTTATACAGGATATAGGTTTGAGTTTATTTTTATCAATTTGTTCATTACGATTAAGATTACTTAGACTTTATACATGCATATAATTTAGCCTTAATAATGAGATATTTTACACTAAAATAAACACATGTTGGTAGATCACAAGTGTACAATCTGCTAAGCTATTTCTACAGATTCAAACTCTATATTCTATTAGCACATCACATGGATTTTATTGTATCATTCTCATCCTCATCATTATCCTATACATCACTACCATCATCGTCATCAGCAGTAGTAGTGGTAGTATTAGTAGTATTAGTAGTAGTAGTAGTAGTAGTAGTAGTAGTTGTGGTGGTAAGTCAATTGAATAATTCATTATAATTGACCAGTTGATTATGACCTCATGGTATTTGGTCAATTGTGCCCATTAAACTGACACTTCAGTCCTAACATGCATGCTTTATTGCTATGTACACACACATTTACACAATCGAAAATACACACACACGTGCACACATGTTCACGCACACACGCACTTGTGATTGTTGTGTGTATTTACACAAATATAATCCTCTGTGTTTATTCTGAGTGACAAAGTACTAGCATTATGGCTTGAATTGAGACGCTGCTGTTGTTGATAGTGTTATTGTTATTATTTTTATTATTATTGTTAATGTTATTATTGTTGTTATTATTTTTTAATGTCATAATACTATTGATGCTATTTTTATTTGCTTTTTTTATCCCCCTGTTATTCATTGCTCTCAATATAGCCCATGTAACTTATATTACCAGCAATTATATTATTAGTTCTGTTGCCATTAAAATATAGTGGCAAGTTTCACTACTAAATAATAATAATAGTTATAATAATATTTATAATAACTATTGTTATTATTATGGCTGTTTGTGTCGGTTGGTTGATTTCTAGATGTATTAATTGCAGTAGATGTTTTCTATGTGAGGTTTGATCTTTAATGTTTAATTTACTGACATTACAATACTCAACTCTGTATCTGCAACAAGTTTCTTACGCTATCTAACTGTTTAAAATGAATTACAAAGTCATGCAGAATATTAAATTAACCGTCCATTACCTATGTTTTCATGTTTAGTTTGGACATATTTTCAATTTGATAGCGCTAAACTTCAATACTTTGATAAAAATCCATTTGAGAGAAGTATTTTTAATTGATACAAAGTTTTATTTATTCCTGTTAAATAACATTTATTTATATATACATACATACCCCTAGAATGATTAAATGAATGGCAATAATATCTATTCAGTAGAAAATACAAAGATGTATTGCTTGCAGGCTCTCAGATGATTTTATTAATAATATAGATTAAATTTTATGGGCTGAATTTAAGCCATTTGTCATTGCTTATTTATAATATGACACGCGCTCACATAAACACACAAACACATTCACACACACAAACACAACAATTGTTATATCTTTTTTAGAGCGTATTTTATGCTGTTTCTCTATCTGTGGTGTATCATCATTGCCATGTAATATTTTATTTTTAACGTTGTATACTGAATACAGAAAAGTCAACCATTCTATTTTTAACTATTTTGTGAAGATTTTTTTCTTAGAGACCATTTTTTGGAATAAAACTCTGAATGCCTGCTTAAATCTGTTAGATTTGCTGTAGGTAAATGTGATTTTTATTCATATTAAGATTGAATAGAATAACTGATATCTTAAGGTAATGGATATGTTTTATGGTTTGAATTAGAAAATGTAATTAACTAAGATTACAGATTTTAATCTAGATAAACATCTTTTTTTTCTTCTTATCCAATCATTTGTAAGAACTTTCTAGCTAATATTTACTCAATTATCAGTGCACATTCACTCGTGGATAGGTAGGTATGTGACTTTGCATGTCTATACATACTCACACGCATACACACACACATACATACTCACATACACGCTACACGCATACAAAAACATACATATATACATAAAACAGTCAAATATATTGATGAATTGTCCTTGATATGATTTAATCTCAACCTGATACAACTCTTAAAAACATTAGGAATTTTACATAGATTATGGCGTTACAAGTAGTTTCTAGAGTAGAGTTTATTGACGATAATAATCATTACAAAATTTTTTATGAAAATATTATTTTCGTTCTAATTGTTATTGCTTTTTTCTTATTACACCACTACATTTCAGTTATTACTCACGCTGTCGCTAGTGCTGCCGCTTCCACTACTTCTACCACTACTAAGAATTACTATCACAAATAATAATTATACTACAACTACTATCTAGTAATAATCTACTGCTGCTTCTACTATTACTACCATTTGATACTACTACTGCTACTACTACTACTACTACAAGTAGTAGTAATAATACTGGTAGCTTTCAATTACCATTATTACTATTCCTTCAAGTAGCATAGCAAATAACTACTTTGAATTCTATCACTGTAATCAATGCTATCATTGTTGCCATTAGGATCATTAAATTGCTATTACTACCACTCCTACTACTACTACTACTACTACTACTGCTGCTGCTACTACTGCTGCTGCTGTTGCTGCTGTTGCTGCTACTAATTATACTACTAGTATTATTAGTATTATATTGTTACTAGTATTAGTATTCTAGTTAGTTATTGTAGTATGCTATATTTTTAACGATTGTATTGTATTGTATTTTATTTTTGTGTTGTATTGTTTTGTATTATATTGTAGTTGTCATAATGATAGTAATATTAATTATCGTCATTACTTTGATTAAGGTTATTGTAGCTAGTACACATAGTAGTGCTTGTAGTGACAGTACTGTAGTATAAATTAGAGGAAGAGGTGCAGTAGCAGTAGTAGTATAGTAACAGATATTGGACTGGTAGTACATATTTAAGTATGCATGTATGTGAATTAAGTGTTCACTGGAGTATGCTGAACGCCTTTATATGCATATGTATGATTGTATGTACGTGCGTGTAGTGTATTAGCGTGGTGGTGTGCTTGTGCGTGTGTATGTGCAAGTATTGGTGGATGTGTGTGCTATTGTATATACATATATGTTTGTGTAAGAATGTTTAATTATTTATGTTTGCGTTCGGTTTAATTGTGATTCTATGTGCTTATTTAGCTGGAAACGTGTAAATACTATGTAGTACGTGTCTTTATTTGTACGTGTAGACAGACAGACATACAAACATTCAGACATACGCACAAACAGACGTACCAACATACTACATTAACAAAAGCACATACACGCCCGTT